TTTTTATATTAATAAAATACGTGGGCCGATAATATTACTATATGCTTAGTATTTCCATGCCAGCGATGCTCGTAACCTGCTCGATTTAAAAACAGCTATGTGTATTTGAAACAAAGACTCATGGAATCACAAAGGAAACTGTTAAGTACGTATTTCACACCTTTCCTACGACCGCGGTTGCAACCGGTATCGGTGGCCACCGCGGTAGAGACCCCTAATTATAAGCAGTCCGCGGCTCTCCCCGGTGTACCGCGGAGAGCCGCGGTGATTACCGCGGTGAACCGCCCGTTTGATTTCCTACTCTTCCCTAATGTAGATAGACATGGCTATTTAACTTTGTCACATTCAGCCGTCAATGCGTGTTTATTGATGATTCAAAGATACTGCAAATGGGGCTCATTAAAACCTCATAAAATTGTCTCTGATTGATCATTGTCCTAGCTTGGTTACCTTTCTATTATTTTGTGAGTACTTTGGCCCTCATCAATTTAGCCTGAGAATATTGCTTCAATTTTAAACCATGTCAACCATGTAAATTTATTCCAACATCACAGTTTCATCTCTGTAGCAACTATTTTTTTTGATACAGCTCGTGTGCAGAACATATAACTCTCACATCCATTGTACCACACATTAGCAGCGTGTTATATTGGCAACCAATCAACGTCTTGGTGACCAATTGACCGTACGAGAAAAAAACGATGTAACGTTTCCATACTTATTATGTAGAGGGCCAAAGGACCCACAAAGTAATAGGAAATAACAAGGCTACCAATGCTAAGTAATTGATCTGTGCTCTCTCACTGTCTACTTCTCCTTCCTATTTTTGAGACCTTTTAATTTAAAAGTTCAAGAATGTTTGACATTCTTTCAATTTGTTCAAAAATATCTTCACAATTGTGAATGTGTCAGACTAAATTAAACAAGTATTCATAAAAAGAAATAATAACTTAACAGATCTTTCTCAACAAAGAAAATTAGTCTTTTTAATATTTAATAAATATTCCATGTGTTTGCAGCCTTGAAAGCTGCATCAGATGTCTGTTATTACTCAAAATTTAACGCAGAAACAGCAAGAGTATAGTTGTACTTAACTTGATTGTAGCTGTTTACAGCAACATCTCTCATGAATACATCTTATTACTATGAAAAATGTATTCATGAAACTCCCTGATTTTAATATTGACAAGTTACAACTCATGTTCAATATCTCAAAAATCTTACATGGAATTCAATGCAACAATTTAAATATTGGAAGTATTTATCTAATGAACTATTTATCAGCAGTTTGGTCATACTCGTGTCATCTTACGCTCGATATCTACCAGGTCACGAATTGAGTAAAGGTGTATCACACCCTTGTAATTATCTTTGTTGACAGAGCAAGATATAAACCGTATTTCAATCGTATTAATAGTCGATTCATCGAGTGAAGGCTATTCTGTTCTAGTTTCATTGAAAACGGTAGCATATGATTTGTATAACTGACAACAATTCAAGTGCCCCTGGAATCGTATTTCTAATGACACCTGTTGACTGTTAACTAAAAATTTCAACAAATATTCCCCCACAGCACCGATTGCAAGACATCAAGAAGATAATGCACTTACATTGATCATTATTATGCAGATATATGCCACATGATATTTAAATATGTAAGGGAGATCAATTTCAGTTGACTCCAATTCTAAAGCTCTGTTTTGAATTGTGGTATAAAGGTACAGGTGGGGAGAATTCTTAAAATATTCTTACATATTAATTAGCTAATTTGCATATACATTGATAATTATTATGCATATATATGCGACATGTATAAATATGTAAGGGAGATTAATTTCTGTTGACTCCAATTCTAAAGCTCTGTTTTGAATTGTGGTATGCAGGTATAGGTGGGGAGAGTTCTTAAAACATTCTTGCATATTAATTAGCTAATTTGCATATACATTGATAATTCATTATGTAGATATATGCTACATGATATTTAAATATGTAAGGGAGAATTGATTTCAGTTGACTCCAATTCTAAAGCTCTGTTTTAATTTGTGGTATAAAAGTACATGTAATGTACATTAAACCTAATGATTGGTAAAGGTCGGGGAGAATTCTTAACATATGCCATTCTTGCATATTAATTAACTAATTTGCATAAATATTTTGTTGATAGTATTTGAAATATTTCAAGTAGGATTCAATTAGCTGTTTTTTTTACATTTGTTTCCTACTGCTGATATCATTCATTTGGTATAATAAAACTAATTTCCATAAAAATGTTGCAACAAACAAGTGTCTGGTGATAATTATAACTTAAAGTTGCATTTCCACTGAGTATTGTATGCAGGAAACCTTCTCACTGGCTATAGTGATCTCTATGAAATAAGTTGGTACAACATAATTTTCATTATTATTATCATTCAAGGCCTCGATCTTTATCTAGCTTTAGGACTGTCTTCTGAATTACATTTCAGGACTCTAAGATGAGATTTCTCATGAACAAAATCCAAATCTTTACGAGTACAAGGGTCAGCGAGAGGTTGATTGCAGATCGTACAAGATGAGAATGTAACTTTAATTTGTGTTTATGTCTGTGATTTGATAGAACTTAAAGCAAATATTTGTAGTATTATTCAGTTGTCTGTCTGTTAAAAACATGTAAACATTTGTCTCCTATCATTGTTATCATTGACTTTGACAATGGACCTGAAGAAGCTAATAAAACCAACTTAAACATAAAGCACAGGGTGAACTTGAACATACAGAGGGTATAGTACTTTGATTCTAACTGAAAAGGCCAGGCAAATTTTCCCAAAATTTTTATCTTGAATTTTTGTTAGAATTTTGCATTGTGAAAATCCACAGGTGGTGATCTTCACACAGAGCTGTACTTGTTGTAAATAAAACAACACCTGCTATTGTCTGAGGATGAGTCCCTAAAAAATAAGATTAGGAATAAATGTTTTGGGAACAATCATTGTTTGGACAAGCAAGCCATGTTCTTCATTTATAGTTAGCGAGTGCTATACCTGTGTTGACAAGATCCTTATCATTGTCTGCAGTAATGTAGTAACCCAGTGGGAGACCTGCTGCCAAGCTGTGAATAGTACCCCTGGACCGTTCCTGTAAAAGCTTGTCCAATGTACAAACCTATTCCAAAGAAAACGTATTGAAGATCCTCATAAAAGATCAATACATTTATGTTCAATTTGCTCGCTCAAGTGGATTAATCGCTGGATGGGTAGATCTATAAAGAATTCCTCCTTATAATAGCAGGGCCTGACATCGCAGTTTTTTGTCACTATCTTGTACTGGGTGTTGTTTCATGCGATCGTAACACATAACTGGTACACAAAGCTGTATGTAGTTTAGTATTGAAAAAGTTTAATAATAGAATAATTATTAATTTATTTGTTATTGAAGTGGTCAAAAAAATGTGTTTGTTCTATTGTCGTAATTTAAAGGTACAATGCATGTATTGGAAGCAGAGTGCTTAGAAAAAAGTTTTCTAAGATTAAACCTTTCTTTTATTCACATCTTTTGAAATATTTTGACATTTTGTTTTCAGTAAGCATCTCTTCCAGTCGTCAATTTGATGGATTGATGATAACCGGAGTATATCCAACAATGAAACAGCAAACAATGTTCAATCCGTTTATGTCTCCCATGATGAATCCTGCTCCCGTGGCAACTGGTCAGACCTACATGTGTTCCATTGTTCATCAGCATCTCAGTATGCAGCCACAAACTGTCATCAACTTTCTGTGGTTTGGACCCGCTAAAGATACTGGATGTGTAAATTTTCTGTAAGTAAATGACATGCATTTCATGTTTTTTTAAAAACAAACGCAACAAAATATAAACTTTTTGGATTCTCTGACACTTATCTTGGTATAGAATTTATTTATTTATTTGTCCAAGTTCGGACAGAGCATCAGTGTGTGGTGCATGTGTGCCCATCCCTATCAGAGACATGCCTCGGCTGATCCCTTTCAAAACTCACATGCTTATTTGAATACATATGCATGCTAATTTATTTCATGATCTTATTCAAGATGGCAGAATGGCAGCCATTTTATGCTTAAAATTCGACAAAATTAAGCATTTCTGTCATTCTAAACATGGTTAAACATGGACAGCTATTGTCCATCTTGGTACCATACATACAATGAACATATTTATAACAGGATCGTAATGTTTTTTCAGATAAAATTCAAGATGGCTCATTTCAATTTTGTTCACAATTGACCTAACATGGACTCTATGTCATGACATGACTTGTTTATTTATTATGATGTTTAGTTCAGTGCATAACCTCTTATTTCAAGTTTTTCAAAAAAAAATCATCAAGATGGGATATCATGATGTTAAAATGTCATAGTGCACCACATGTACAAATTTTGTCTAAACAAAATCTTGGTGTTACATTACATTGGACCCATTTTTTACATGATTTAAAAACCCCCGATGAGAGGTTCACTACTATGATAATGAAAACCTGACGTTTTTTCTACAATTTAAAACTATGAATTTCATACTTTATTAATTATTATTTGTGCATATGTCAAGATTTCCTGCTCTGAGGACAGAGAAAGAAAAGTAAATAATCTGTTATTAATTACATAACAGTGGTGGTAAATCAATTACCCTTTTGTTATCTGATTATATGCAGGCTTTCCGTATTTACTTAGGCATAGTTTGGGCACTTAGCAGACAGTTAGTTAAAACCCTGAATTTGAATAGCCACCCCTCCATAATTATCACTGCTTCACGAAGACAGTATTAGTACACTGAGAAGTATTTGCATCAGTTTATTTGACTCTAATAATAGTTTATATATTAAATAGTTACTTTCATAACAGCTGTATCATTGCTGTCTTTGGCCATCAGGGAGTAAGGTCTCTGCACTACTTTCCTAAGTGTCATGCACAAAGCATCGGCATATCAGTGCATTTCTTATCTCAACTGGCAGTATCACATTGTGATTTAATTACTCTGTTTACTTCTGTGCTTCAAGATACAACTCCTGAAAGTATCCAGGAAGGGACATTCCATTATTAGAGATGGGGGGGGGAACTTACAGGAAATGAGAGTGCTACATTTTATTTTGTTGATCTGTAGTATTATTTTTTTTTTGAAATATTCGCAGGAAAAGTCTGTTTACACTATAAGCCTCACACATGACCTTTGAGGCTCGCATGTCCTGATACTTTCTCAATGAAAACATTTGGAGAATTGTCAAGTATTGGTTTAAAAAAAAATGCAAGCAGTACATCAATATTGAAGTGCATAAACAATCTTAGCATAGCACAAATTGAAGTATAATAATGGAAGTATATTGTTATTGGGAAACAATACTATCGGAATGTACCAGAATGTTTGACAAATCAACAGGAAGTACTAGAATGATTGACAAACCATCAGAAAGTAGCAGAATGTTTGACAAATCAACAGAAAGTACCAGAATGTTTGACAAACCATCAGAAAGTACCAGAATGTTTGACAAACCAACAGAAAGTACCAGAATGTTTGACAAACCATCAGAAAGTACCAGAATGTTTGACAAACCATCAGAAAGTACCAGAATGATTGACAAACCATCAAAGTACCAGAATGTTTGACAAACCATCAGAAAGTACCAGAATGTTTGACAAACTCTCAGATTTGCTCACAGTAAATCACTCTAGTCTAAGGAGCAGGTTATTAACACAGTACTTAAATCCATATATGTTTATTTTTGTATTTTGTGTGTAAATCAGAGACAAACTTTCTGGAGTAACAACTTTTTCCTATCAGTTCTGACAGCCTGAATTTAATCTTTGCCAGAATAATTAGACTCTCATCATTTTCAACCTTTCACTGAACTCCATTTCCCTATACATCTTTCATCATTGTCCTATACAGTGCAACAGCTTCTCTTGGTCAACAGTTCATTTTTAAAGACACGCTAGCATTGGAACTTTGTGAAGAAGGAGAGGAAGTATTCGTTGAACAACTCGTACAGCGCAAAGGTCAGTAATGGAATTTCAGTTTTCAACATTTCATTATCACTGTTACATATATGTTAAATAGTTTTTGAAGTGTTTTTTTTCTCTGTCAATCCTTGATATATATATATTTTGTTAAGTTGTTCAACTGGCATTTAGCAAGTAATGTCAACCCACAAGGAAATCGTAATTCATCTTCTTGTTTTTCTTGGTCTTTTCACAGATGTCATTTTACAGACAATGATATTACGAGATAACTTTGACAAGTCGCCTGACTTGGACTCATCACTTTGGTAAGTGGGCATACATGTACTTTATTTTATCTACATATATATATACTTAACATATTTTTTTTTTGACGTCAAAAAACGCTTCAGATTCATTGATCTTCAATTTTCCATTTCACACCAATATATTTTGAAATCACGAAAAATTTTAAGTTCCTTAATTTTCAAAATTTCTTCACAACATTTCGCCAATTTTTATGTATTTCAGTATAAATTGTTTGATAACCTTGGACCAAATGAACATAATTCCATATTGACTACAGCTCTTGATCAAAATTTTGAAATAATTTGATAAAATTTTGAAATAATTTGATAAAATTTTGAAATAATTTGATAGAATTTTGAAATAATTTGATAGAATTTTAAATTGTGCAGGATTTTGACAAAGGTGACAAAAGTTGAATTTAATGTTCGAAGAGTTAAAGCTTCACAAATGTCCCAGATTTCACATTTTTAATTTCCAAATGATGTTTTGCTGCTCATGCTTTGGAGAATATAAAATTATACATTCCATAGAAACTAGTTTAGCGATCCCCTTTTGATTTGTGCTTTATTACAGTGTAAATGAACTTTTGACAAAGAGTAACAGATAAGGATGAAAAAATATTACTGTCAGGAAACTTCTGAATCTATAAAAATTCTAAGCATTATATAAAAATAAAAAAAAATGTTGTTCTTGCCTAATTTAGTTATTTTGTGTTAATGCTATGGAGAAAACCTTGAAAATCATTGTATCCATGGAAACAACACCTCCACCTAAATATGGAAACATGTTGTAGGTTTATTTTTGTGAAAGGAAATGCATATACCTGTCAATCATTTTGTTTACTAAACTCTTATAACAGCCTGCTCTTCCATCCTGACATGCCCAACCCCTACTATTACTAACATTTGACTTTTGTTTTTATGCTAGGTCTGAGTTACAAGGAGGCAGTGTGAGCCAGGAATGTGGTCCAGTTATCCAAGGTAACTCTGTGGTATTCTGTCAGCCGACTGGTACAAGAGAAATCAGCACAGTCCATTTAAACGCAACAACTGGTTCTGTCATACAGTTTGCAATCAGTGAGTATATGCAAGCTAAATATAGATCTAGAGGTAATGTGATGCAAATGAAATTCAAATGTTATTTAAATTTATTTAAATGCTATGTAAATGATATTCAAATACTATGTAAATGTGTGATATTGATTGATAGCAATTTAGTCTATACAGGTTCTAGCTGAGTATTTGTTGATAGTTGCTTAGTCTTCATAAAAACTTAACAATAAAAAAATTATAAAATTTTTAGCAGGATTAAGCATAATAACAAAGAGGAACTGCAACTCAGTCACCCTGCCCAACAGGCCTATAAGTCACAAATAAATGAGGCAAATGTCATAAATAACCTGAAATGACCTTGGTGAAAATTAAAAGTAACGACTCTATCTTCTCTTGTGGTTTTCAATGAAAGTTGACCAAAAGTTTAAGGAACCAGCAAAACATAACTCAAGATTCCAAATGTTTGATAATTCATGCAAACTGGCCAGAATTGGTCCTAGATAAATTTGCCAGAGATCATTGTAATTCTGGCATTCAAAAAAAAAAAAAGATACTTGTTGTCAACAGAATGTACATTTCCTTGCATTTTTTAATACTATTAGGTGCAGGTACTTGTAAAGCTGGTTATGCTGACTATAGTATTGAAGTGTCTTATGCTCTTAGGGACACCGTTGACTGGCATCTCATTGATAAAGTCAGGTAAGTACCAGGAGTAAAAACCAAAACAGTGGATCATGTAAGAATGGCATGCTTGGTAGAAAACATTTGTTTAAAAGGTTTAAAATTGCCAATGAGTAAATTTTAATATTTATAATCAATCAAATTAAATTATTAAACATTTGGTTTCTACAGTTTATTGTGAATTTTATGCTATTTCCCAGTTTGACCACTAGAGGGCAGACTGTTAGAAGTTGATTCCTGTACCGATATTTACATGTAGCCAGTACTTAAAGTGGCACTACTTTTCTCTAGTAGGTCTTTACCAGCATTGTGTAAACTACATGCAATATACAGTTAAATGCAATAAACAAAAACATGTTTTGTTGTTTCTCAGTGCCCCCATATCTGATGAAACCAACATTCATATAGTTCACCTGCCAGAAGAAGCAAGGACTGAAGATTTAGTATTAAGATGGCATCAAGATATCGCTATGGATGTATACAGGTTCCAAGGCTGCTGGGCCCTGGATAATGTATTAATTGTCAATGCAGTTGACAAACCAACAACCTTACAAGATGACTTTGATCCAGTGAATCCAACGAACTGGCTCTTTTACCCGACTGCCAGTATTAAGGTATTTTTTATTCAGAATCCTTTCCAATTTACAGTTATTACCATATTAGAAATTTTTTTTTACAGATGTTTAATAAATTTTCATTTTTTTCTACAAAGAATAAATGTTACTCTGATGGAAAAGCATTGGTGTTTCATGGTAGTCATGACAACCAGCAGGGTCATCAGTTTGTGACATCCAGAGATGTCAATCTGTATCAGGAGAGCTCCCAAGATGCTTTGTTTGAAGAAAATTTTGAGGCATCATCACTTCTTTTTGGGTGAGTCTCCAAGAAATGCCTGGTTATAATCACTAACAATTTTTGATTTAAATATTTTGAATTATTAAAAATCACTGTTATGTGATACATTACACAGTTTTCGGTAATATTGAAAATTGTATTTGATTGACTCTGTAGTTGGGAGGTTTCTGGTAGCACTATTGGAGACATGTGTGGTGCCATACATGATGGATACTCTGCCATATTTAATGGAAAACATGACAGAAGATTATGTACTCCATATATCAACACAGATGATGTTCACAATCTGAAATTCTATTTTGCTATGGGTAGGTTTATTCTTTCATTTCCTTCCTATACTGACGCACCTTCCTATACTGACACTTTTTTATGACACTCCTTCCTGTACTGACACTTTTTTATGACACACCTTCCTATACTGACACTTTTTTATGACACACCTTCCTATACTGACATTTTTATGACACACCTTCCTATACTGACACTTTTTTATGACACACCTTCCTATACTGACACTTTTTTATGACACTCCTTCCTG